ATTTTTGATAGATCAATTAAAGGGCGATTTGAGTGGGATCATTGATACACATTTATCTCACTAATTCATTGTAAATATTTACTATCTTATGCTATTATTATCCATGTGTGGGCCTATTGGTGGGTATAAATAGGATCTGCCTCGTATGGACCAATAGGCCTTCTGCAGTTGTTATGCGGCTCTTATTTGTATCCACCTAATTCTCATTCATTTTTCATTGTCCCTCACCTCACTTCACCTCTTTCTCCTGCCTATATATATGTCCAATACTTGACTTGTAAATCATTCCTTCTGAAGACGTATTAATATTCGAAAGTACTTTAGGAAATTCCTGTTTCAATTCTTCCTCCGTGGCCTGACACTGTCACAATTTTCATCATGTGTTAATTTTCGTGATTTACACACACACATACACACACACATATGCGACTGAAAACTCCACACCCCAGAAGTGACTCGAACCCAGACAGCCAGGAGCACAATACAACTGGTGTACATGGTTGTGGACCATTCAAACTTGTTTGCATTTGTGTTGCTCGCGTGGCCCCAAAAAGTGAGGTGATTTGACGAAATAACTATGCCCAAGATTACCACCAAGTGCCGTCGGGACGGTGGGAAAATTGCCTTGGCTACCATCGTCTTTTGTATGGTCACTTTTGATCGAGTAGTTAAAGTACCATGTTGGTACTGGGTAGGTTGGTTAATACCATCTTATTTATCCTGCTGTTGCCCGGCGCCTTGTTCTTGAAACATCTGCATCTTTGCAATGGTTATGTGTTTCATAAGGTTGCATTCATTGCGAATGTTGTTAAGGTCTATTGTTTGTGTCGGGAGTAGTGTTGCAGCTCTGTTATCGACTTGAGTTGTAATTTTCCTTTCATTAATGAGGCAAAAGTTTAGATTTTCTTCTGGGTTTATCATGGATATTTTTTTCCCAGAACTTCCTGAATTCCTGTTCTTGTTCTCTTTCCTCGTAGTTTGTTTCCTGAGGCGTCTATTATGTAGGGTGTTTCCTCAGCTGAGTTTCCCATCAGGGTTTTTATTTTTTTTTCCAGAACTTTTCCGGTAGGTGGTCGCTTGTGCTCACTGGCCCCCTTTCCATGCGGGTGTTTAGGAAGTGGTGGTTGTTTGACAGTAGTATGTCTGGTTTACCTCGGTGTCCTTGTCTGACATAAGTTGGGAAGTCTGGGCCCAAGTGGGTTAAATTTCCGTTCCTTATCATATTGTGGATGGCTTCTCCTGCCTGGTTGTTCCTTCCGTGTTCCATTGTCCCGTGTTAGGCGTTTAGATCTCCTAGGAAGTAGACAAGTCTGTTCCTTCTGGTGAGTTTCATGATGTCGGCCAGGGTAAGGTAAGGTCATGTTGGTGGTTGGTAACATGTTCTTATGAAGATTATACCTTTCGTAGTTTGGAGTTCATTTGCCAAGAAGTTTTCTTGAAAATAGTCTAGAATTTTGTGTGGAATATTTCTCCTTACAGCAATTGCTGCTCCATCGTTGGCCTGGGCAGCTCTGTTGACCTGGTAAATTTTGTAATTGAGGATCTTTTTCTTCTCACTATCCTTTTTCCCATGGCTGATAATGAGTATTATATCTGGGTCTATTTCTCTGTACATGTTGCTGAGTTCCACTGCTCTGTGCGGAGTCCAGCTTAGAACATTGTGTTGAATTATTGTTAATGACTGGATGGCTATGTTGAAACTAACAGGTCGCTTCCTCCTCGTGGATTGTTTGGGATCGATGCGTGTCCGTTGCGCCTTGCGTTAAACTGAATGCTGCTTATCTGCTGAATGGTTAGGGGGGTTTACTTGAAAGAATGCGACATTATATGTTCGTACACGTCACTCGGATTAGCACCAGGAATGTTGTGTTGGAATTTGATGTTCTGATTTTGTATACGTTCTTGGAGGGTCTTGCGGTTAACTGTGTGGGTTATGTGTCTTGAGAAGACTTCGGTATTGTTTGGGATCTCTACGGAGTCCTGATTGACTGTGTCTGAGTTTGCAGCGCTGTCTGTGGGTGTCGGGTGAGCACTGATGTCCATTGTTTGTCTGTGGTCTGCCTCAGTTACCTCATCGGAATTCGCTAATTGTGGCTTGTATGTCCTGTGGTGCTTGTATGTTTGTAGGGCCCCCTTTGGGGGTCATTAGTGGTGGTTGCTTGTGTTAGTTCAACTTCCTCCTCTGACTCATTGAGGGTTTCTGCATTCGTCGGTCCTGACACTTGTTGGGAGTTAGTCTTAGTTTGGGGAGTGCTGATAATATTGCTGTCCACCAGGGCTTTTATGATGTTGAGGGAGGAAACATTGTCTGGGAAATTCATTTCTGGGCGACCTCCTGTACGTTTCTTTAACCACGGATCCAAATGACCTTGGCCTTGCTAAGTTTTCTAAGTGAGCAAAGATCATACTGCTCAGGATCTTTGTTGGTAGGTCACCATTTACCTGTAAGGTAGTTTTTGCTGGATTGTGTGATACCTTGTTTGTCCAAGCATTAGTGGTAGTTATACCTGCATAGGTATTATTGGCCATTGCTGCCTTTTCTGCTGCGGTTTCGGCACTTTTTTGTTTTAGGATATTCCTCCAAGTGGAACAGATTGATGCCAGCGAGCGATGGGGACTCACACAATCGAGACATATGGGATTTGTTTTATTTGTGCACTCTATGAAAAGGTGTTCCTGCTGGCCACATTTAGAATATACTTTGACATCCCTTTGTTGGCACTCTGCGGCTATGTGGTCGTATTTGTAGCATGCCCAAAATGGGGTTATGTTGAAGTATTCTTCGTGTTCTAGGTTGTAGTTATCTGTGCTCAGATGGTAGTAGTAGCAATGGGTACTTTGGCTGAGGGCTTTTTGTGCCATGGAGATTTCTTCAAATCTTACTTTCATCGTGGTTCTCAATCCCGGCATGAGAATTACTTCCTCTAATTTGGCCCAGTCATTCCTTTGTTCTATGTCGTGTTTAATATTTTCAGGGGTTTCGTCATTAAGTGTAGCATCGAGTCTCTTCAGGACTATTGTCTTCCTGGCTTTAAGCTCTGGGGGAATACGTTTATCCATCAATTTACATATATTATCTCCGTTGATGACTTTGTTAACATCTTCATCCTGGTAGCATGAATGAGGAGTCCTTTGTGGGTATTAGTTTAGAAAATCGTACCTTGAAAGAGAACAAGAGATTGGCTAGTACATTCTGTTTATCATTGCTTGCCCTTTGTTTATCATTGCTGGATATCGCTTCTTGCTAGAGAGTCCTACAGTGAGTCCCAAGTACTCTGTGCAAGTGATGCTGTATTATTAACACCAGCAGTGCATCAAACCCTAATGTTTGGTGGGCTGCCCCTGGTGGGGAGGGGTGAGGGCAGGCTGCCTGTCTCCAGGCCTCAAGCAACTATGCCTAAGTGTCCTCCCAGGGTATTAGTTCATTCTAGGGTTCCTCTTATACTAGTGACTTATGCAATAGTGTCAAAACACTCAGCAGCACAATAGTATTGTGTCGATACAACCGCAGGCGATCAAACACAAAGGTTGGGTATTAGGGGCTTAACACCTAGAGGGGGAGAGGAGGCACGCACATCATCTCTGCCCAAAGCCTGGGCAGTGAATCTCCAATCCCCCGTCCCCTTGTCCACAACATCCCCCATTCCCTCGACCTCCCCGCCATTACCCCCATCCCCGTCCCCTTGTCTTCCCCACCATCACCCACTCCTGTCCCCTCGTCCTCTCCACCATTCCCCTCTCCCTCGTCCAATGCATTCCCAAATGATCTGATGTTCCCATCAGAAAAATGGGAACATCAAATAATCTGATGTTCCCATCACTGAAAAATAAGTAGAACAGTTAAAAAAATAAATGAAAATGAAAAAAATAAACTATACTCACGAAATGAACAGTATGGTAAACAACTCAGCTCAATTCCAGTGCAATGTCACACAAAATACTTAAATTAAATTGAAAATATATTGAAATCTTTGAAAATTCAATTTATCAATGCAATCAGAAACATTGAAATGGAATCATAACATATTTAGTATAGCGTGTGTTGCTATGTCGTGCAACAGGTGGCGCTGTTTAAAAAAAAAATCATATTTTTACCTGTTATAGGTGTGGCATCTATTTAGTCGGTATATATAAACACGCTCGTATTTGAATGGAATGTTGTGTCAAAATTTCAAAGTAATCGGTGAAGAACTTTTGGAGATGACAGCATGTGTTGCTCTTATGTCCAACAGATGGTACTGTTTTTAAAAAAAAAACTTTTTTTTTTCCTGTCACAGGTGAGGCACCTATTCGAATGCAATGTTGTGTCAAAATTTCAAAGCAATCGGTAAAGAGGTTTCCTTGCATGAAAAAAAATAAAATAAAAATTATGGTTTGTCCCGTCACAGATGTGACATCTATATAATATGTATATAAAAACACGCTCATAAGCGAATGGAACGATGTTTCACAATTTTAAAGCAATCGGCGAAGAACTTTTGGAGATTAGTGATTTTGAACAAATGAACATTTACATTTTTATTTGCATAAGATATAAAATTAAAAAATAGAATAGTTTCCCTGTGCTCTGAGAAAGTGTGTTGTGGTGCTTGAGAAACCTTTGAAGCAGTTGGAGGAACGTTTGGTCTGTGCGAGTACTGCCCAAATATATACAGCAGGAAATTTCTTTTAATTTTCAGATATCAGTGAATAAGGGTACATATTACTCTAAACATTTTGAAATGTTTGGTTTTGAAAATATTCAGCTGTGTTGCCTGAGGGTCGTGCAAAAAAATCGTCTTGTGGGTATGAATGTGACCCAAGCACATTTTTCTCTTTTGAATTCCCGCGACGCGGACCAGCCTATGTTCATCCCGCGCCCGAGACCATTCCTTCTGACAATTTGGGTGAGGTTAGACCCAAGCGCCTGGCATCCAACTTTGGACAAACCGACAAACGAACTCTTTTTGTATTGATGTATAAACAATAACAAGTATTATAAAATTCCCATATGTCTACAGTGTTGTACAGCCCATACTGGCCCCACATCAAGATGGCGTGGAAGAACAAGGACCATCCCAACATGCATTTTCTCTTCTATGAAGACCTGAAAACTGACGTAATGAAAGAACTGAGAACTCTGAATAAATTCTTGGGCACCAACCTCACCCAGCAACAACTTGATAATGTAAGTGTCTACTGAACTTAGCTTGGTTACTCACCAGAGTTGTTATTAAGGTACTGGAAAATGCTTTATGTTATTACATGTGACTTTACATTTATTACAGCTCTATTATTTCATAACATAGGTGTTTGGGGCAGTTTCAGGCTTCTATATTTCCTTATAGATGTGAGGATGTTAGTGACACTGGGAGGAGAATGTGTAGCATGAGAATATGAGTGTTAAGAGAGTAATGGTAATGGAGTATTATGTTGGGGCATTGTAATGATCTGTGCAGAGCAACCTTCTCCCCTCTCCCTTCTCCCCTCTCCCTTCTCCCCTCTCCCTTCTACCTTCTCCCTTCCTCTTGTTGCCGTCCTCTTGTGTGGTCAATCTTCCCTCCCCCTGTCAGCCGTTTCCTTCCTTAAAACACGAGTCAACTTACCCTTAGGCAGTGGGACCATCGCTAGTCACTTGTCCCCTCCTGTTCCCCAATCCTATTTCTCTAATCCCTCCCTCTAATCTTCATCACCATTCTTCTTTCCAATCCCTCTTTCCCTCTCTTTCTCTGTCTTCTCCATAACTATTGACAGATTTAGGCCCAGTACAACTCTAGGGTCATAACATTCGTGCTCTCAAGTTCCCTTAGGTGGTCAGGACAGCTTCTTCCCACGAGATGGGTCATTACTGCTTAGTTCCAGTCTCTGGGAGAGGATCGCCCCAGGCAAGTGTCAGGCTTTTCCCTGGCCAACAGCAGGTGCTTTTGGTTCATTGGGTAGACATGCCAGGGAGACCTAGTGGGCGAAGTCTCCCATGGTAGTGCCAGACGTCTCATTGGCTGGGCCCTCAGGCCTAGAGCAAGACTTTGAATTCACTGGCTCTAGACATGGAGAGGCGGGTTTTTTGGGCCTAGGAAAACTTAGAGTGGGAGGACCTGTTCCACTGAGAGAGTTTAGGAAAAAAATAAGTTCAGTGTGTCTGTGGGAGTGACTTAAGATAGGTGACTTCAGGGCATGAGGGTAGCCAGCAACATCTCTGGCCAGATTACAGGATTAAGATACAGTGTACTTGAATTTTCATGTATATTCAGTATTTCAGATCTTTGCCTCTTAGGATGTTTTATTAGACTAGGATATATCCCAAATTTTATTTCAATATCCGTGTGTTAATTAAATTAAAGTGTATTAAGGTAATTTGTGTTTAGTTATCTGTTCCCTTAATTAATACTGAGTCATTCTTATATGTGGTATTTATATGCGGTACTGGAAACCCCCGTTGTGTTCTCCTCCATTTCATGGATATTATAGTTGCCCTTAGTTCCTCAATAAGTAAAGCAAAATTGTATAATTCATTCCCCAAACATTATTATTACCAAGAGTCTTATGCCCTTGTATTTTCATGAGTATTGATTTTTTTCCTTCCTGGGGGATCAGCAATAGACACATTCAGGTATGTTAGCGGGAAGGTGGTGACAGTGTTTAATGATTTTTTATTTATTAGTTTTAAATTAATAAACTCTTCATTTGTTGTTATCCCCCCCTCATTTAATATTTTCCGTCTCAATATTAACTGGCAGATCATTGAGGGTTACAGTGATCTGCAAGCAGTGTTAGGCTGGGTTAGTGAGGGGGAGTAAGGGAGGAGCAATTACGGGTTATTACAGCATCAGGCCAGGAGGTGGTATGAACTAACCTTCGTTAACAGGGGACTTGTCTCTCAGAGCAATTACATTCTTATAGACTCTCAGAAGGAAAAACATTTGTCTAGTTAAACCTAAACCGCCTGGTGATGGAGTATAGTGACACATGAGCCCCCAGGAAGCTTCGGGGTGGACGTCTCTCCATCATAAACCACCAGATGCTGGTATATATATATACCCTGTATAGTGACAGTTGTCATGTGAGTGATATGTGACACTCTCCATGAATGGTGAGTGTTAGTCAGGTCCATGGATGGTGAGTGTTAGTCAGGTCCATGGATGGTGAGTGTTAGTCAGGTCCATGGATGGTGAGTGTTAGTCAGGTCCATGGATGGTGAGTGTTAGTCAGGTCCATTGATTGACTGTGTTATGAACTAAAAGTAGCCTATTGAGCTGAATCTACAGGTGAGAGTTATTCTACCCACCTGAGTAGAGAGTCAGAGGAAAGAAGGAAAAAGTTAAGTAAACGTCAATAAATGACTAAACAGAGACAAGTAGAGGACGAGCATCTTATAGAAGCTAGTTGAAATGACATGTCGACATTTTTGTTTATGTCGTGATGCAGACGGAGGTCGTAACATATTACTTGAGTTGCTACAGTCGTCAGGAATGGACGTACGTCGTTGTCTCCAGGAAAGAAAGAAGAATATAGTACTTTGTCTAGTGTTTGAGTGAAGGCTACGTGGTACAAAGTGTGAGGAAGCTGCCGAGGACGTCGTAAGTCATTTCTCAGTGATCTGAAAGGTATTCAGGACGACCTGAAGCCTGAATGGTGTTCGTATTCCTGTGTGGATCCTAATGAGTTATATCGTTAGAGTGGAGGAAAGTTAGTAGGTGTTTCTGTGTGAAACCTGCTATGAGACTTCGTAGATTGAAGTCGGGACTGTGAGAAGCTTTGAGAAACAGTCCAAAAGGATTTTAATGGACGACCAAGTGTTGTGCCATGTTGGAACGTCAGAGGGCAAGCGTCGCCACATTGTAAATTTTTGCGGTATGAGCACTTAATTAGTTGATAGATCGCTTGTTATTGATCGATTGTGTGCCCAGCGATTGTAGGAGACGTTTATGCACATAGATTAGAGATTTTATAAAGATATTGAGAGTATATAAGGAGTTAAAGAACATGGGACATGCTGGAGGCAAGAGTGGCAAATGCTCGCTCGTCTGAAAGGCAGAGCACCTGGCGTCCCGTCGGAAGAGAACTCCGGTGTGGACTCGTCCAAAAATATGGGCGTACCCACTGCGGCAGGGCCGGCGTGCAGAAGGGGATATTGGAAGGAGAAATGTATTTTGTGTAGATATACGTATTTATATGTTATTAGGAAAACATATTATTACGGCTTAGTAATGGAATTACAGGTTTGTGTGGAGAGAAGTTTGTGGAGGAGCTTTTTGTCTGAGGAAGATTATACGGTGAATCTCCAAGTGTAGAGTGGAATCTTCAAATGTGGAGTTGAACTTCAAGTGTGGAGCGGAACTTTAAGTGTAGAGTTTAACATTTTTTTTTGTGAAGCCGCAAAAAGAAACTTCACAGACCCTGAGGGGGGACTTCAAGTAGCAACAAATATTAGAGAGACTGCAGGAGTACCTACCTGGTTTTGAGGACCCAGTGTGAGGGAATCTAGATTCCCTCAGCTAGTTTTCCTAGTTTCTAAATTAGGCTAGTCGCTCTAGAAACTGATGCTTTCAAACTAACATATACTTGTGGGGTGTTGAATGAAAGCTTATGTTATGGACTATCATTTGTGAGTAGTCAGAAGTCTGTGATTGGTCTGTAGAGAGAATTACAGAGATTTTACTGTTTCTATGAAATAGGATGGGAGTTGAGAGTGAAGTGGTGTAGGGAGGTACTTGACTCTCCCAACAGTTTTACAGGGGGGTGGGGGGGGGAGGGACAGAGGGGTGAACGTTGCCTTGCCCCCCTCCCCACCCCCCATGTGAGACAGTACGCCACTGTCTTTTAGGCCTCCCCCTCCTTGTGACGTCACAGGACGCCTGAGGGTGACTGAGGCATGTGATTGGTTTAGGCACCTGTGCTCCAACCGAGTTTTGGCGTAAAGAGCTGTGGTTGGAAGCGGCATCTTGGTAGTGTGCCGGCTCCCTGCTGATTGGTCAAGACAAGGTAGGGGGGAGATATGGGCATTTTGAGTTTCCTTAGCCCGGGAAATCGTCAGTTTGAGCTGGGTAGCAGGTGGAAGAGGACGCAGCTGGGTGGAGATGGCCGCCTGCCATCTCCACCCCCGTTAATCGCTGTCATTCCCTTGTTGCACAGCGTGGATGGCACTCCTGCCATCCCGGGTTGTGTCTAGGCCCAAATTTGTGTGAAATTGGGGCCGATGTGACAAACTAAGAGACAGTTGCAGTGTTAACCCATGAGGCAGATGGCAGAGCCTCATGGTGTATCAGATTGATCCCTCATCTCTCGGGTCTGAGCATAATGTCTAGTGGCAATGGACAATTGGTGTATTATGGGCAGTGTAATTGAGTGTGTTATTACAGGCCCCTGTTGGATTTTTGTATTCCACCTGGCGGCAGCCATGTGGTGAATGGCCGCCGGCCATTTGGCACCCTAGTGTACGAGCAAGCATGCTGATGAGGGGGTGTAAAGTGATTCCCCGCCCATGTGTGTATGTTGGTGGGCGCCAACCAGCCAGTCGGGGGCCACCCCAGGCCGCCCGCGGCCACACGCGCCGCCCACAGCCGCCCGGAGGCGCCCCAGGCCGCCCACGGCCACCCGCGCTGTCCACCTTGGCCAGCTGCCCGGGGGGCCACTCCAGGCCACCCGCGAGGCCAAACCCCACCCCACCCTGCACGCCAGCTCAGCCGGGTGGGTTGCTATGACGTCATGCGCTACCCGTGGCCACCCCCTTAGAGCCACGCGGTGGCCACATGCCTTGGCCACCTCCTTGGGCCACTTTCCCGGGACAGCCTAGGGCCACATCTTGTCGACGCATGAGGAGCAAGCTAAGTGTTGACAGCTAGTGTGGTAGTGACCTGGGAAATGAGTAAAAATGAGGAGGTCAGACGTGAGTAAAATTTATCATTGTGTACAGTGTGATGAGTACCGGTGGAAATTCCTGGTAAGAGTTGTCTCAGAGCCTTGCCAGGCTAGGGAAGCAGCTGAGAGACAGCTGTCTGTAGCACATCCAGGTGACTGGTAGGGCGGTACCTGGAGATAGATGTTGTCCACGACCACACTGTAGTTATATATATATATATATATATATATATGCGAACAAGCCTGAATGGTCCCCAGGACATATGCAACTGAAAACTCACACCCCAGAAGTGACTCGAACCCATACTCCCAGAAGCAACACAACTGGTA